CTCCATGCTGCTGTTATTGTAGGTGAAATGAACAGCAGCGAAGAATAAATCCTCATTTGGACTTTTTCTTGGTTTGACAGTTGTGAAGTGCTCTGCACAGAGCTGAGAGCTCGGAGTGTCGTTGGAGCCGTTACAGTAAAACCTGGAGTTTTTAAATAATCCGACTCAGAGTGACGTGCAACGCTTCATCAGGCTGTTACAGCACGTTCACCAAGCTGACAGAGAACGTACAGATTTACTTTTCTTTTTCTCAGTTTTCAGAATCAAAACTTTTGTTTTAGCACGAAAGTCAAAAAACACACTGAGGAAAAAATGAAGTAGACACGAAGAGCTCGTCCAGACGTTAGTAAACCACAGGGGGAAGAATCGCAGATTCTGGGTTCATCTCACGACAAAGCAGCAGCAGGGAGGACGTTATGGTTCGATCTAAGGGTGGATGCATGGCGTTCAGACATGTTGGAGCTCCTGTTAGCAGAGATGGGAGCACACTGAGGAGGCCGAGATGGGAGCACACCGAGGAGGCCGAGATGGGAGCACACCGAGGAGGCCGAGGAACCAGGCGGCGAGTGAGCCGTGCAGGGTCTAGCTCCATGTCTGAGGTCAATCAGTAATTTTCCCCTTATTTCCAGATACCTGTATATTCAGCACCATGCATGATTTCAGCTATGAGCGCACTTGTTACCAGATGCAGTGACCTGATTGGTCAGATCCGAAACATCCATGAAAATGCCGCAAATTCGTGCAGTGAAAATGCAGATCGGTGTGAATGACTGCATTAACAAAAGGCAAATAAAATATTGACACAGATTTTACACGCCCAGTGTGGCTTGACCCTAAAGGGCTGTAAAGATCTCACTTCCTGTATCAACTATTTCCTTTCTACCATTTTCCTCCGCCGATGCGTCAGTTTGTGTTCCTGGAGATGAAGCCGAGCTTTGACTGCCGTAAAAGGCAGTGAAAGCTGCTCCGAAGGCTTCAGCTATCCTGGCCAGAGAACCAGAGCAGACAAAGCAGACAGTGATGTCACAGAGGCTACAGCCATCTTTCACGTACAGTCTGTGATTCTGCCGTCAGAACCAGACCAAAAGACTCAAAGCCGCCGTGAAGGCACAAAGATGTCACAACCTTCAGGTCTCACGTCAACATTCTGCAATCGATTACTGAAAAGTTATTGACGGCTGGGAGGTGATCAAAGGCTCCACCTTACACTTTATCTCATTTTCTCTTCCCAACTTCACTGCAGTGCGTGCTGGGAAATGTAGGAGCCAGAGTTTTTAATACACAGACAAACTGAGAAAGTTTCTTCTGATTAAAGAGTCTGAACACACTGGTGTGATCAGAGAGTCAGGCGTAGCTTCTCTACTTGTTCCTGCTATAAAATCAGTAAAATTCACAATCAAACGTTCGTTTCCCGACGCCGAAGCTTCAGCCCGACCCGATACTCGGTACTCACACGCACAGCTGGATCTCCAGAGCAGAAAGAAGAGTAGGAGCGGGACCTCCATGTTCCTCCTGCGTCCTCCGGCCTCGCTTGAGCTCGACTGAAGGGCTGGAGGAAGTGCGTCTCTGAGGGAGGAAAAAGTCAGCCAGCAGCGCTTCCTTCTATTCAATTGTTCGAGCGAAGGAGCCGCTGCTGTCGGAAATGCCACAGGACATCCCCGATGTTCAGGGTGGAGGAGAGGATC